CACCTTCTCGGCAAGATGTCTTATTTTTATGAGTGAATTAGGTAATAATACTTCGTCCCTTATAATGGTGACCTAAACATCAATTTTTTTTTATAATCAAACACGTAATTCAACATAAAATACAAATATCTTATAAAACACCAAACCTCAAATCAGTCAACAGAAGCCTTTTATAAGCTATTTGCCTGAAATCAAACAATATAAGAGCAATTTAATATTTCATGGCAGTTTGAAACCAACCCAATTGATCCCTCGAACAAACAACAGAAATGTAGTGAAATTTAGTTTTTGGATTTGAGGTGGATTCATGTTCATATCAATAGGCACATTTCGAAAGAGTTTAAACTTTAAATCCTAACTAAGCGCTTAATTAATCTCTTAACAAGGCCAATGAGTTTATAACGGTCATCATGGAACCCACTTTTAAGGCCCGTACAAATAAATAACAAATGTCGAATTGAGAAGAAAGTAAAACATTTTAAGGTCTCGCTAAATGATTTAGTCAATTGTTGAGATGATGATGGCAAAATGATTTGGGTTTGAGGTGGATTCATGTTATAAAATATAGTATTTTATAATATTTATTGTTTAAAATATTCACAATGGTTGCTTTGATAGTCATGTCATAAAACAACTAAGCTAGGTGCTCTTATTACCATAAAAAAAAAAATCTAAACCTAACTAAAATTATTGAAATCTTTATCGATATATTTTCTTTATTTTCAACGTTTTAAATTTTGTTAAGTTGCACCGGAACGGATATGGAGACAGAAACGGGAATGGAAACAGGGACGAGAAACGGCAAAATCAAAAATTTAAGAAAGCGGGTACGGTAATATAGTATAAGCAAAAATATACATATAGAAATTATGTATCATATAAATCAAATCATAAAAAGAAAGAACCTAGTTTAATGTCTTAACTAAAACAAAAATCTTAGATTTTTTTGTATAATGAACATAAAGAAATGAGTTTATTAGATTTTTTCCTTTTTTATATATTTCTTTTGAAAAAATCGATTTAAAAACATATAATCACATTGGGAACACATATTTTTAGTCTAAAAAAGTTTCTGAAACGTCTCCGAAATTGGTTGCCGTCCATGGTTAACATGAAACGCTTCTGAAATGTCTCCAAACCATTTCCGGCGTGTTTCCGTCCCCGTACGGAGATGTGGCCCAAAATGGCGTCTCCGTGCTTCGTAGTCGTTTCTCTTCTAGCGAATATAAGAATTGTATGCTCTATGCTTCTTCAAAACAAAACATTTTAAAATAAAAATACTATAGTATTTATTTTAATTGAGTTATACACTATTTATATGATAAATTATATTGTTTAGTGTATTATTGGACCAGTCTTTTCTTTTTTTTTTTGCTAACCTTTTTCAAATTAAATTGCAGGAGAAAGAAAATAAATACATGCCCAGCCCAGGCCATAATGTTGTGGGTCAAGCCCAATAATGATATCTATACTAATTAGAGCCCAAAGAGAGATCATTTGTAAGGAACATAATAAACCCAAAAATCGTAGGAGACAGAGGAATGGTAAAGAGACGCTGAACTGAGATCCGATCAGAGCCAGTGTTATCGGCCTAGTAAGGCCAAGATTCAGGATTGGAGTATTATTGGACCAGACTTATATACAGCATTTTGTGAATCACAGTCATGTAGAAGACTGGAATTGCTCATAGACTCATAGTCCGGTTTGGTTCGAGCCACGTGATCTTGCCGACGCACAAGACGGAGCTTCCGTTAACCGACACACAAATCTAAAGTAATTGATATCCGATTTTAATAAGTTTTCATGGACATTTTACTATAGTTACATTTTAAATTTTCAGCGGTTCGCTGAACACGAGAAATATTTTGAAAGAAGTGAAAAATTATTTAAGCTGACAAAGAAAATATAAATCCGTTCCAAAATTGTATTATAGCTATAAGCTAACACAAAAATATAATAGTAATTTATATTCACGTGGCTGTTTTTTTAGTCAGTCAAAAACGTGAATATATATACTCCATTATTATATTTCGTAACAACTCCCTTATATATATAATAGTAATTACGTAGATAGCAACAATAAAATTTTGAAATTAAATCAATGATAATGATGTGATTTACAGCTATCGAATATTGTGAAAAGTTTGATTACTTTTAATTTTATATTGAGTTAATTTTACGCGCTACTGTTTTAAAGTAAATGCTACTATGTGTTTCGTACTTCTGTAACAGTTAAATAAAATGTAAAACGCCCAAACAGTATTTATAATATTTTTGAAAATTTCCACTGACAGTATTGTCATTTGTCATCTGTTATTTTAACAATTATTCTAAATAGAAGTGATATGAATTGTTTAATGCAACCATTTCTTTTGGACAACTGTATTTGAACAACTATACACGATGTGAACAATTGAATATTTAGTCATTCTGTGTTGTGTCCATCTCATTATTATTTTCATTAACTACTATAAAGTATAAACAAACAAATCTATAAAAATAGAATCTACTATATTAGAAATAGTTATAACAATAATTTTTAAAGTCCCATAATTCATAGCATGCGGGACAACGATGAACAATTCAATTCAGATCTTAACTAAAATTATTAATTTTATTACTGAAATATGCTCTGTGAAGTGAGGTTTCATTCCACAATTCCTGTAAGATATGACCAAAAATATTGTTCCGAATAGGGGTCATTCAACGCATCAAATACGGTGTGTTTGGTATGAATAACAAAATAACCCAAGCTCAAGCATATACAAACATTTAAGAACAATTTCAAAAATTTGGGGAAACAATAACCACGATTTTCCGTAAATGGTAAAATAAAAAATATGAACTTAGCTAGTAAGACAAATCAACGTTAGCCTTGGGAGATTCGTAGATGGTTGGATCCCGAGTGCATTGTGGAAGATTCGACGGAGGAGATGGCAAGCTCGTATCCGGAGTTGGTCCATTTTGAACTATGAAAGCCATCATGATTCCGTATGGTAAATGTGCATCCATGTGACAATGGAACATCCATACACCTGCCAAAAAAGTGTAATTTCAATATTTTAAATGAACCTATACTGATGTTTGTACGTAGTTGGTGTAGATGAGAAAACAAATCAAAATATACTAACCAGGATTATTGGCGATAAATCGAAGGACAACATATCCACCAGGTGGTACGCCGATTGTATTGCGTAGTTGCGGGTTAACTAGATTTAGCTTGCTTGCATCGCGGATTGGATCATAGTTACCGAATCCATAACCCACAACATAGAAATTGAAGCCGTGAAGGTGCATAGGGTGGCTCTCTGCGCTGATTATTCCTGTGTTTTGCACAACGATCTCAACTGTTGAATTGAACTTAATTGTCTTGGCACTAGTCTTTCTCTCTGGAAACATCATCTTGAAGTCAGAATCAGTTTGGACTTTGAAATTTGTGTAATCAAATTTGCGCGGCGGTTGGGCGGGAAAATCATCAGTGTAGACTCCAGAAATGTTGTAGAAATAAGCTTCTTGCATAGAAAGTCTTTCCGGGATCATAAAAGTCCGATTGTTGAGAGAGCCAGCATATCTATGACCGTATGGTCCAATACACTTGGTTTTCGGTGGACATGGGTCTAAACCAAGCCCCATCGTTACAAACATCTTCTCGTCGACGTGACGAGGCACTGGCTTCCAGTGGGGTCCACCCACTAGGCCAGTGATGTTCGAGGAGAATTTATGAGCGGTGGCTACGTCATTCATCCAAGGCATCAAAGGCGATGCTGGAGATGATGATGTGGCACCCTCGTAGACGATTAAGCCATTGATGGGGTTGTTAGCAGGGACCGGTATCCCGTGGGCACTAGTGTAAGGGCTAATGGACATGTGGTACAATCTGGTGGGCTGGTCGGCAGTGAAAAGTGCGTCGACGCTTTGTCCCGGTGTTAAGACCATCACATCGGTGACGTAAGGTGTTGTATAGACAGCATCTAGAGCAACAACTGTCATGTTGTGATTGGCTATTTTGAAGAAGAGGTGAGTATTGAGTGCCGCGTTTATAATCCTTAGCAAGTATGTTTTGCCTTGTACTACCTTGAGCTTAAACATCCCTACCAAGCCAAAAACCAAAAATATAAATATTTGTATGTGAACAAAATAAAGAGATTAAAATTTACTTTCGACTGAACCAAAGAAAGAGTATTACTGTTCTTAGAGCAAGGATATGAATCTCCGGCGAGGCCATTGATGAGGTATGCATCACAAAGGGGAGCTGGCCGTAAATTGAGGAGTCCAACATCTAAGTCCCACCATTGTTCTTGCATGATCATTTATTTTTCAAACAAATTAATTAACAATTTGAATAATATCATAATATCTTATAATGAATGTTTATCCTCCAAACATTAGTATTATCAACTAGAAGGAGTTAATTTTTTTGACTATGTTGTTACTTAAACCCGAACCAACCTAGTCATACTTGTAAGATTGACTCAATATTTACTTCTTAAGTTCAGCTTTGAAAAAGACAATACTTACGAAAAATGAGGGGAACTTCTTTGTACGGTTTAGGGAAAGGATAAGGACGGCCGGATCGCGGACGGATGATTAGAGCACCGTGAAGAGTGGCACGTAGATTAACGACGTGTGCATGCCATAACAATGTTCCTTCTTGTCCGGTGATATCGAATCGATACGTAAAGTTATTAGATGGTTGAATCGGACATTGAGTTATCATATTCGCTCCGTCCATCCATGAGCTCTTCAACTGAAACACTCCATGCCTATATTATATTTGTGTGTCATAAACAAATAATTTTATTGAGCTTAGAAAAACATTATTTGGTGAGGTAATATTGAAAT